CTGTCTGCAAAGGTATTAAACGTCTCCACGCTGCTTTTGGGGTGATAATAGAGAATTTCACTTCCGAGTTTCCAAATAATCTGTCAAAACAGAAATTACTAACAAAAATGTAAAATCTTTGCCTTAACCAATGTCTGCTTAAGAAAGCTTTTTTTTTTCTGATCATTTCATTCAAAAACAACCTATAATTTCTTTTCCTAGATACCACCTCCATCAATATTTCACTACACATCACCCTGTGAAACTACTATTGTATCACATGTGATTAAAACTTTCCCGCCGATTAAAATACCAGGTAACTATGATAGTGCCATTTTTAAATTAGTCGTCTAAAGAAGGCAGGCAGTTGAGATATGCCTTGAAGATAACATTTTTAACTAACATAGGAGAAAAACCAAATGAGAGCAATGGACTGGATACTTCCTGAGATCCCAGCGAGGTTTCTAAATACTGACTATGTGTAACCTATATTTAGGGCTCAAATCTAAGAATGCGTACCAGCTACGGACAGATTTTAATAGAATATATTTTCTCCCCAGGGCACCGCCATGCTGCCGACAGAACTTGGAGCTCTTCGCTTCCCATGGGCGTGAATTTCCGTTTCTCTTACCCCACTTTCAAGTAATTCAGTAACATTGACCTGAAAGTAAACTTAGGTGAATTTTAAATCCGTTATTTCTATAAACATACAGACTGGTGGTTTGGTGTAACCATAAAACACACCTTCCCAGCTTAGGGAGGTCAAGATCTCATTTGCAGAATGCCAGACTGGAGTCTTTTGGAACCGAAAGAAAACATGGAGACTGCCTGTCACAGTGGACTTCAACCTGGTTGTACACAAGAACTACCCGTTAAAAATAAACACTGCAGCCCTGACCGGTTTGGCTCAGTGTATAGAGCGTCAGCCTGCGGACTGAAGGGTCCCGGGTTCGATTCCGGTCAAGGGCATGTACCTAGGTTGCAGGCACATCCCTAGTAGGGGGTGTGCAGGAGGCAGCTGATCGATGTTTCTCTCTCATCGATGTTTCTAACTCTCTATCCCTCTCCCTTCCTCTCTGTAAAAAATCAATAAAATAAAATAAAAAAATAAAAATAAACACTGCAGGGACTCAGACTTGGATTCAGACCTGGGGGCGGAGCCCCGGAATCTGCGTGTCCAATGAAAGCCCTAGAGCAGTGGTTCTCGACCTTCTGGCCCTTTAAATACAGTTTCTCATGTGGTGACCCAACCATAACATTATTTTCGTGGCTACTTCATCACTGTCATGTTGCTACTGTTATGAATCGTCATGTAAATATCTGATATGCAGGATGGTCTTAGGTGACCCCTGTGAAAGGGTCATTCGACCGCCAAAGGGGTCGCGACCCACAGGTTGAGAACCGCTTCCCTAGACAATTCCAATAGCGCCAAACAAGCGCCTAGAAACCCCTGATCCAGGTCCCTCACTTCACAAAACAAACTCTGGACAGAAAGAACCTGTGACTTGCCCAGTGATTTAAAGGTGCATGAAACCTTAGTCCATAAACTGAAGTTCCAATCAATGGGAAAACGTTTTCTTTCAGGTTGTTTTTGGCTCTATTACATATCTAACTCATACACTGGTTACGGTAACCTGGCCGGCGTGGCGCAGTGGTTGAGCAACATCAGCCTATGAACCAGGAGGTCACGGTTCGATTCCCGGTCAGAGCACATGCCCAGGTTCCACGCTCAATCCCCAGTGTGGGGCGTGAAGGAGGAAGCTGATCGGTGATTCTCGTTCATCATTGATGTTTCTCTCTCTTCCTCTCCCTTCCTCTCTGAAATCAATTAAAAATATATTTAAAATAAATAAATAAAAGCTATTTGAGATTTCCAGGTGAAATTATTTCGGACAAACTGTTTTTTACTGAACCAATTTAACCATATATGCGAGGCACCGTTCCGGAGCCCTGCCCTACTGGAAATTACATTCTACTGTAGAGGGACTGACAATAACCAAGAAACGTAATAATTAAATTGGCAAAAACTATGGGAAACAAATGGAGTGGGATAAGGGGACCCGAGGGACAGCTGGAAGGTGGAGAGGGGTGTACAGCGGCAACTGTAGTCACGTTGGGCCCCGTTGAAAACGCTAGAGTGAGTCCTGAAGACCTTTCCAGGTAAAGGAAATAGCTAAGGCAAAGGCAACCAGGCAAGTAGGAGCCTGTCCAAGGAAGAGAAGGAAGGCGGTGAGGATGCAGGGGAAAAAACGAGAGTGACAGATGAGGTCAGAGAGAGGTCGGGGGCGGGGGGAGGGCAGAGGGAAGACATGTAGAACACGCAGGCATCGGGAGG